AAAAAAAAAAAAAAACATTTGTAATTTGATCAAACTTATTATTTTTTTGCAGCCAACAGTAAAACCCAGAGCTCGACTCGCTGCCATCCACAGTGGAAAAGAAGGATTTTATTAGACATGGAAATCCATTCATTACGTCTATTTATAAGTGACAGGTCAGGAGGTCCGGGCTGGTCCCGTCTCATCTCTTATTTAATTACAGCAGCCATCGTTTCACAGTGTCGGCTCTCGTCACACTGAACGCTGACAGAGAACACAAAGTAAAACTGAAAATAAAATCTCTTATGGACTTACAGGGACGTCTCTATGGCTGACAGGCTGAGGCTTTTCTTCTTCTAGGTCACACATTTACAGTTGGGTACCAACTAAAATAAATACAAACATGTATTCAGACAGGTTTAAACTGGTTTACTACACGTCAAAGATTTAATTAACTATAAAATAAAGTGGCATTTCTCTCCTACWTCATGTCTTTATAAACAGATTGTGTTCATCAGTATAATACAGAATACTCAGCTGAGCTGTCACCTGTGTTGAAATGTGAATTTTCAACATTTAAATCACCTGTTGTGACAAATTAAATCTGTAGTAAGTTCTACTAAACTCAAATGTTAAAGTACTTGGTTTGAAACAGCTGATGGAAAAAGTTGGTGTTTTCCTGACAGCAGTAAAYGTCTGGAGATCAGGAAGTCAGGCAGGAGTGTTTGGCTTCATGTTGAGTCATAAGGCATATTGAGCGGTGGGTATGGTGTGGTATGAGGGCCAAAACTAAGACTGTTGTACACCCAGAGGTTGCTACGTCCATGTAGCAGGAGGCTATATCTACTCCTAAAACTTTCTGATGCTAACCCCAGCTTATCCATGCTAGTCATTAGCCTCTCTGATACTAACACCAGCTTATCCATGCTAGTTACTAGCCTCTCCGATGCTAAAACCAGCTTATCCATGCTAGATGCTAGTCTCTCTGATGCTAAAACCAGCTTTTCCATGCTAGATGCTAGCCTCTCTGATGCTAAAACCAGCTTTATCCATGCTAGTTGCTAGTCTCTCTGATGCTAAAACCAGCTTATCCGTGCTAGATGCTAACCTCTCCGATGCTAAAACCAGCTTTATCCATGCTAGATGCTAGCCTCTCCGATGCTAAAACCAGCTTATCCATGCTAGTAACTAGCCACTCTGATGCTAATGCCAGCTTATCCATGCTAGTTGCTAGCCTCTCYRAYRCTAATGCCAGCTTATCCATGCTAGTTGCTAGCCTCTCTGATGCTAATGCCAGCTTATTCATGCTAGTCGCTAGCCTCTCTGATGCTAACACCAGGTTATCCATGCTGATTGCTAGCCTCTTTGATGCTAACACCAGCTTATCCATGCTAGTAACTAGCCTCTCTGATGCTAACACCAGCTTATCCATGCTAGTAACTAGCCTCTCTGATGCCAACACCAGCTAGCCTCTCTGATGCTAACACCAGCTTATCCATGCTAGTAACTAGCCTCTCTGATGCTAACACCAGCTTATCCATGCTAGTCATTAGCCTCTCTGATGCTAATGCCAGCTTATTCATGCTAGTCGCTAGCCTCTCTGATACTAAAACCAGCTTATCCATTCTAGTCGCTAGCCTCTTTGATGCTAACACCAGGTTATCCATGCTGATTGCTAGCCTCTTTGATGCTAACACCAGGTTATCCATGCTAGTCGCTAGCCTCTAATACTAATGTCAACTTATCCATTCTCGTCACTAGCCTCTCCAATGCTAACGCCAGCTTATCCATGCTAGTCACTAGCCTCTCCAATGCTAACGCCAGCTTATCCATGCTAGTCGCTAGCCTCTCTGACGCTAAAACCAGCTTATCCATGCTAGTTGCTAGCCTCTCCGTTGCTAACACCAGCTTATCCATGCTAGTTGCTAGTCTCTCCGATGTTTACCCCAACTTATACCTGCTAGTCGCTAGCCTCTCTGATGTTAATTCCAGCTTATCTATGCTAGTTGCTAGCCTCTCTGATGCTAACACAAACAAATAGTCTCCTCCTCATTACCTAGCGCCGGCCTCTCAGTTAGCGGTGTCGGCCTATCATTAATCAGCTCAATAGCTGGTTMAGGAACACATATAGCCTTCTGCTACATGGTGTAGCGACCTCTGGTTGAGCAACAGTCTTAATTTTAGCCATCATACCACGTCATACGGCAGGAGGACAGGGAGTCCGGTTCTCGTGGATCACAGAGGTCTCACTTGGATGACGTTGACCTGGGTCGAAGCTCCGGCCTTGGAGGTCAGGTCGAACTGCTGGAGGTCGTCACTGGTGATGATGAAGACGATGGAGGAGGAGTTGAAGGTGACCCTCTTCTTGGGCCGCTCCTTGCTGTCACACGTGCTGGACACCACGATGGGCCTGACGGGGCGCTGGGCCGGGGTCAGGGGGCGCTCCTTCAAGTTGTGCTGGAGCCACGATATCCTCGAGCACAGCAGCTGCAGGAAGCAGCGTCGGAACTGGGAGAGAAGAAGACACGAGGAAGAGATTGAAGAGATCAAATCCTGCTGTGAACCCCGTCAGGACTGCAGGAGACTCGAACCTTTCTGCTCATGAACACGTAGATGAGCGGGTTGTACGCCGTGCTGGACTTGGCGAAGAACGAGGGGATGATGGCCAGCGTAGGGGAGACCACGCTGGTCCTGCTGAAGGCCTCCATCATGGACACCACGGCGTAGGGCGTCCAGCACACCAGGAAGCAGGAGATCATCAGGAGGAACATGGCCGCCACCTTCTTCTCGTAACGCAACATCTTGATGATCTGAAGCGTCTGGAGGTCTTCGATGGAGCGAAGCTGCCAGACACAGAGGAGGTGAAGATCTTTTTATTAAGACTTTATAGGTTCAGGCAATATTAACAAAAATATATATATATT